AATAAAAAAAAAAAAAAAAAAAGACAACACTATTCTCTTGTGTGTTTGTTGCTGCACAAAATCCATCAAACGCTGTCTTCTGCAGACACACCACCAAAACTCTCCACCACCATCTCCCCTTTCCTCCATAAAGAATAAAACTTCAATCTGCAAGAGAAGACTGCAAAAACTCTCAGCTGATGACACAGGTAGAACCACTGCAGCCGGGGAAGAGACATCTGAGAAAAGACCAGTCTCCCCTGGAGGAGTAACAGGAAGTGATGTGGGCAGTCCTTGCCTCTGGAGAAAGGATGGGGACATTTGAAAGTCCACACACTGGACCCAAGGCCACAATATCTGCCTAGGAATTAGATTAATTATGAATATTGAACAGTGCTTCCCCACTTGGCACATTTCCCTTGCTATAGAGCTGCACCGTAAGCAGATGTGAAAGTGGTAAACCCTCTCCCTGTGACTATGACCCTGTTTGGAAAGAGGGTTACATTAGTTTGGAAAGTTTTGTTACATTAGTGAGGCCAGACTGGAGTAGGATGGTCTTGACCCTAGTCACCCAGAAGGGTCTCAAATAAAGAGCCCAATAAACACACACATGGGAATGCAACCCTAAAGGAACACCCAGACACCAGGGAAACCCAAGGAGATCACGGAACTCCCTGGGCTCCCACCAGGCAAGGACTCCCACCACTGAGTCAATGCCCTTCTTTGAACTACCAACCTCCAATATTGTGAGACAACACATTCCTGGTTTTTCATTCCATTCACTTATGGTTTATATTGTGGCTGTTGTTATGGCAATACTAGATAACTAAGGTACCCCTGTAACTACAGTAATGGTCCTCAATTATAAACAAGTCAAAGAACCCAGAAGAACACAAAGAGAGAAGGCAAACCAAATCCAAAGCTGAAGCCCATAGAGAGAGACAGAAGGCATCACCACAGAAATCTGAATTGTGTGGTGTGTGGAGCAGAAACAAACTTGAACTCTGGTAGCCATAGCAACAGTAAACTCCAAACGCAATCCTGACCAGGTTCACACGAACGTCCACAATAAGTGATTTATGAATATGTGTTAAGTTTC